CAGAAGGAAGCCCTGCAGCTGACCCTGGAGTCTGGACTCTGTCCTCCAGCCCCGAGACCACACACTGCCATTCTTCACGCCCTCAGCTGCCGGTGGTGTTGTGGCGGCAGAGGAGACTAGAACGGAGCTTTCCATCTGTAGGGGTGTCACTGAAGGCACCCGAGTTGACTGCAGGGAAACCGAGGTGGAGATGTTCCTACACAAGGATGAAGTACTTTTAAATTGTAAAATGGCACGAGGCTATCGGGCATCATCACTGATGAGGTCAGGGAGAAATCAGTGAAATCTAGATTAGCCAAGAACTTGATCTTTGGGAGGATGGACAAGATTTGGAATGACTGGGCCATGAGACTTCCAGGTGAGGAAGACCACAGGAGCAAAAACCTAGGGAGACAGGCAGGAGTCACTTGAAATGAATCAAATGATGTAAAAAGAAACCCTACAATGTTGCAAGCTTAAATCGCTCACTTCCATAATCAGAGGAATACTTCATTTGTTCACTTAAGACCACTGCAAGAAATGACCACAAATTGGGTGACAAGAGAAATGCATTCTCTCCTGGTTCCGCAGGCCAGAGCTCCTGGAGGATCCTTCTACCTCCTCCTGCTGGGGAAGGCTGCACTGCTCCCATCTCTGCCTCCAACCATCAGGTGACTTTCTCCCTCACCCTCCCCTCTGGACACATCCCGCTGGATGTAGAGCCTTCCATGTGATTGAGGGTGACCCTCTCTTTAGATGCTTGATGACATATATAGAGACCTCCCTTCCGACATGGTCACAGTCACAGACTTCATGGATGAGAGCCTGGAATATCTTCAGGAAGCGGGTTTGCACCAGTCAACCTTTACAATACTTAACTGTCTGGAGAGCGATGGACCTGGGATACAGACCCATCGTCTTAAGCTAGAACAACAGCGATAACTTGATATCTGTAAATCACCCAGGCCAATCGCAGTGGGATATTTATTTGAGCCCCAATAGGAACAACTATATTTTAAAATAAATTTTAATAACTTCCAGATAAAGATGTATGAGCAGACAAGAAGCAAGGGTCCTATATGCAAGTGCAGATAATACATAACTATTAATTTTGATTTACATTTTCATTAATTTGCTTTTTATTATTTCGGATCACTTTGCTATCTCCTAATCCACTCACTTTTTCACATCAAAATTTAGGAACTTTAAAATACTATTTCCTACTGGAGTTATTTTAGAATCACCTTAATGGAAATTCAACTCTCCTAAGAGCCAATGTCTTTGTCAAGCTATAATTCTTCTTCCCTTCAACAGTCTTAATTTTAATAGCCAATAAAATTAGGCATACTTTTAGGATTTAATGCTTATCTGTCATTTAAATCAACAGCTTAAGAGTCACCCTTAAAACAGGTAATCCCATATATGATTTAAAGTTTGCTAACACAAATAATCATCCAAGCAACCAACCAAGCAAACAAACCCCCAAGCCCCACCAGCCTTCTTTAATTCAAATCCATGCTCATTAACGAGACCTGGTTAATATTTCATGCACAGCATCTCCCCATTTACTTTAAAATATTTCTGTAATGGAGATTGGAAAATACACCATGCTCCTATGAGTAATGAAAAATTCAAATGTATTTAGTAAAGATCTTCAACTGTAATTCAAATAATGTTGCTTAAACATTTCTAAAAGGACCTCTGAGCCTCTGCTCAAAAGAGCCTCAGAAGCTTGCAGGATCTCCTGGGCAGAGCTCGGGACAGGTGAGAGCACCCAGGTGGGGCTGGATGTCAGCAGCAACACTGGCTGTAGGTGTAGGAGGTGTTCACTAAGAGGGCCAGGCGAACCCTGGGGAGGAGCAGGTGGTGCTGGGGCTCCGTTCCACCCACCCATCTGGCCAAACAAGAGGCTGGAGAGAAACTCAAGAGCAGAGGGGACAGAGAGCTGCCCCGGGGACTGACTTTATAGTCAAAGATTATTCAGGAGTGTTTTGCCCACTGTCCAAAATAGAGGCTGCATGTTGATTTTTAAGTCAATTTACTTTTTTTGCATCTCTTGATTTACAAGAGATGCAGAATAAGCAGTTCTTTTTTTTTTTAATGCAATATCTCAAAATTGAAGAGTATGGGGCTTTTTGATCACTCAAATGGCATATGGCTTGACATATTGCCACAAATTATAAAATCTATACAGTAACCTGTGAATGAGTCCTTAGGGAGTCCCTTGGCTCAGACTCATTAGTTCATCTCACTGAAATGAAAGATTTTTACAACACCACAAATTTGGCCTCAACTATGGAAAACTTGCTTAAAGATAAAGGTACTTTTAAAGGAAATTTCATGATTCTGGGGGAGCTTTGGCTCAGAAACAACAAATCAATTGTTGTTCCTATTGTACCTCATTCCTAGCAGAACTTGCTAAAATAATTCTATTAATTTAAACTACTAAATGATTTCTCACCAATTCTTCCAAAAACAATTGGAATTAAAATTTAGTGTACCCAGAATAATTTTTGAAACTAAACATAAGATAATCAAAAAGCTCTGACTTAAAACCACATTTTCACTCATTTTAACACAATTAACATTCATTGAACATCTAGTTCATGTCCAATACACAAAGCAGTCTTACAAGGTGGGTCAAGAATGTACCTACTTACCCCAGCTGCCATAAAACTTTTAGGCAAAGAATTTCTCTGAAATCATTAAATATTATTAAGAATTTTACCTAATTTAGACAAATTCAATAAATGGTTAACATAGAAAAGTATAGATCGAAAATCTGAATGTAAGGTTACAAGATTACTATCTTTATCAAGGACTTGCAAAGCCTAAGTCTCTCAAATAGAAGAGAGTGTTAGTAGCTCTCCAGGGACACAGATAGGAGATCTTCCACCAATGTCCTTTCCACACCCATGGGCCCCTTGAGGGGACTTCCGAGGCCTCTCGGAGAGGGCACCGTGGCCTCACTGCTGGCCACCAGGTGTGCTTGCTAGCCTCTGCTCCTCTGGGTTTCTGATGTATTTCTCTTTTTAAATATTTTTCTCTCCCTTTTCCCTGTTCTTTCTGGACAAAATCAAGAACATGTTTCCAAGCATGAAAGCATGTTCCTAGAAACAACCTCTATTATCCCAGCATCACCTCGAGATTTCCATGAAACACTTAGACTCTGAAGGTCTAAAAATTGAATATTGCCCCTTCCTAAGCCTTCAACGTGGGCGGATGTGGAGCAATGGTGCCCACCCTCTGCCTCGCCTTCTTGTACTGCAGAGGTTGGAAGGAGAGCTGCCTTCCCCAGACCCTGTGCATCTGGGAGCTGACCACTCCTCAGCTGCAACCACTGAGCACCATCACCCAGGTTTAGAAGGCAGATGGGTGGAGGCCGCACTCTGCGACCCACGTGCAGGGACTCATCTTTGCTCTGCACTGGGGAGACACAGGCTAGTCACTGGTTTCTTCAATGTTGAGTGCCAGGGTGCGTGCGTTTCAAATGAGTGGATGACAGCAGTAACTGAGTCAGGAACCACAGCAGCAGCATCTCAGTTTGCCTGGAGACACACACCTGGGTGACTCAGTTCTGGGACGTGGTTTAGGGAGACTCTTTTCTTTTTCCCTTGGTATTGGGAAGTAAACACAGGGGTGCTTAACCACTGAGCAACACATTTCCAGCCCTTTTTATATTTTATTTAGAGGCAGAATCTCTCTCAGTTGCTAAGGGCCTTGCTATATTGCTGAGGCTGGCTTTGAACTTGTGATCCTCCTGCCTCAGCCTCCAGAGCCTCTGGGATACAGGCCTGGGCCACTGCACCAGTCCAGGGGCACTTCTGAAGTTCAACTTAGAATCTCCCAACCACGTTTTCTTGTGCTGATTTATTTTCTGCTTAAATAGTTACAGTGAAGAAGACAGAGAAAACAGCTGCCGTGGATTCTGTCCTGTGCCACTGAGTCCTAAGCAATACGAATGGCGTCCACTTTCACAATCCCATGTCTTCCCGAAATGCCCCCCTCTTTATAATTAGTGAGCGTTAACCAACACTAGTAGGCCTGGGTCATATCATAACTCCTCTAGAAAACATTTCTACATTTTTGGCCAAATGACTGCTTCCTTCTCCATGGGAATACATATTTAAAAAGATCATAATCATATCCGCATTTTTGTGTCTGTTAATTGGCTTTCCCTTTTCTGATGCAAGGACTATTTTGTACCCTCTAATGCTCCCCCTTTGGTGAACAGCAGTCTCGGTGATCACCGGTGGATGTGACTGAGGTACGCTGCAGGGTCACCAGGGAGTCCTCCCTGCAGTACCCAGGTGGTAGTAAGTGGCGGTGTCACCTGCGGGTAGATGGTTACAAACCCGAAGCAGGGAGCCATTAGCTGCAGATGGGAGCTGGATGGAGCATGGATGGGAGTGGGTGTAAACAGTGAAACATGGAGAGAACCTGATCTTGTTAGGAAGGCAAGGAGGGGCCTCCGCTGCAGTGTGAAGGCGGGGTGCAGGACAACTGGGAGTGGACTAGAAAAATGACCTCGGGGAGGTCTCGCAAAGAAACCTCTGGCTGGGCCAAGATGCCCTCAGCCAGGGACTTCCTGACGCTGGTCTAGACGGAGGAGCGTGATCCAGGCCCAAGGACGTGCTCCAGGGAGGGGTTGGGGAGAGCAGCTTGCCTTAGGAGCTGGCTGCAGGACCAGGAGTGGTAACAGGCTCCCAGGAAAACCCCTCAGTGCTAGGAAGAGCAGGCTCAGCGGCCCAGAGTCTGTCTGTGTTATGAGAATATCCTGGAGTTCGCAGCAGGGGCTCTTCAAGCCCAGGGCTCCTGTACTTGTGTAATGGCATGATCAGGTCATCATGCAGAGCACCTGCACTGTTCTGAAGAAGTTAACTCCTCACCAGACAGAAAACAACCAGCTTAGGAAAGTAGCACCACTCAGCCACACACCCAAGTGCTGCAGGAGCCCACGGGCTTGGCCTGGGCCCTGGTCCACAGGGCCATCATCACCAGCCCCTCGGTGGTCCACTTACCCTTCCTGCATAGTGCATGACGGTGAACGCCGCACCTTGGCCTTTGAGAGCCACGTTGCCGTTCCCATCCTTCGTGGGGGAGTACACGGCATTTGTGTTCGATGATTCTAGGAGGTTCTGTAGCCTTTTGGGAAGGTTCGGTTCTGTGGACCAAATCGCCTGGCTTTCTTCATCCAATAAAGAGAGCAATCCTGACGGCTTCTGAAAGCAGCAAGAGAGGGAGGTTGCCATCAGAGCTCACCTCCCTCCATCTTCACCCAGACCCTCGGAAGAGAACTCAGCCTCCACCTGAACACACCTCTGCCTGGGCTCACGGTGGGCCCCCGCCCCTCACAGAGCTCTGAGGTCAGCAGCCCTGACATCGTCATAGCAGGGACGAGAGTGCTGCAGAGTTAGGAAAAGGGACAGGGTGACGTAACGGGACACCGACCTTCAGTGAGAGGAGGTAGGAAGGGAACACTGCACTCTGCACACAGCTGAGCACGGCCTGTGTGAAGGGGCATTGAGGTGTCTGAGAGAGACTGCGGATGAGTCCCTGTCACGTCTTCCTGCTGGGACAGAAACTCTGCTCCTCTGACAGGTTTTCACTGATAGGACAGAGACACCGAGTGACATGCTCTTCCTCTAAGTTGACAGGCAAAGCTGGGGACACACCCCTGCAAGGCCCTCAGACTCCTGGTTTTAGTGGAGTACAGACACGTGCACATGTACCCGTCCTGCCAATTGTTCCAAATTTAAATCTTATAAACTTGGGAGACAAATTTTAAAATTATGTTATATTTGTGTCCTTATGTCATTAATCATAGAATCCAAGACATTATGTCGTGGAAAAACTGGTTTTGTGCACTGTCTTCTTTACTGCTGAGAGTTTAGTCATGGAAGTACAAAATATCGAACATTTTTATATCAAAATGTTCTGATATTTCTTGTCCTTCCAATGAATCTGTGTTCTTTCACATGCCCCTTCAGAAAAGGACATGTTGTGCTCCTCAATAGGTTTTGAAAGATTATAAATACATTGCAGAATCTCATATGTAAAGATAGCTCAAATCCAAGGCCTTCTGAAGGAAAATCTGTCTCCAGTACATTTAGATGCCTATATGCTGGTAAGTATCTAATTATATTATATGAATACCTGGAAAAAGAAATCCAAAACTCCAGCCTGGTTACCAGGAGAATATGCCGTTTCCATGGTAACTCCCTCTTGTACACATTCTGTCTGCTCTTGTAGGAAAAGCACTTCATTGATGTAGTGGTGTATCTTCTCGTTGGTCATGTTGACACAAAGCTATTGTGGGAAGAAGAGAATAATACACAAGATAACGCGTCCCGCAGCCCACTCGCTCAATGACACAGTTTCAGACTGCTGAAAAATGGACTCAGGGACATTCCAACCACTTAGTGTGTCGAGGTGAAGCCCGGGCCCAACAGGTATCCTCTGGCACCCTCTGCCTGACTGCTCAGCTTAAAGGGAGTAGGTTAAAAACAGGGAGCATAATTACAGCACTGACTTATAAAGAGGAATCGCCAACATAGATGAGCACTTGAGAAATAGTTCCAAAAGGAAAATATCTTTGGGCTCTCGCCAACAAACGAAGACACAGGCAGATCTGGCGTGAGATGCCAGGGAGCGAGCATTTCCAGCGTGCCTCACTTCTTGTGCGCTGGCGACGCATGACAGCGAACTGGTTTCCTCCAGAGCTCACGCCTCTAGGCTTCACTGAAAGACAAGGTTCTGGACAAACTCCTCCTCCAACTGTCTGCTGCCCCTGCTCAGAACATTCCCACCAGGAAGCAAATGTTTCCAAAGTCTTAAATTTCTTTAAAAAAAAAAAAAGTCCTTTAATTTTTAAAAGTAGAAAATAAACTGAATTCTAACCAAAATGAGATCTTACTTCTTCCAGGCCCTTTCCCACTTTTCTGCTTACTTTTGTAAAAAAAAAAAAAAAATTACAAAAGGTGTGTTTCTTCTTACATTTCCAATTCTTCTACCCTCATCCTCTTTTGAAACTAATACATCTTCTGTCCCCACGGTTTCACAAATTTCTTTTCTGGAAGTTACTACTGATGTGTGCCTTTTTAAATTCACTGTTTGTGTCTCAGTATCCATTTTCTTGACCCCTAGCGAGGTGTGAGAGAGCTGGCTCCTGTTTCCCTGGAACCCTGGTGGGCAGTCTTCCAGGCTCCACCTGCCCCGGGCCCCCTTCCTGCCCCTTCTGCGGAGCACTCCAGGACACAGCCCTGGGGCTCGCTCCAGGCTCTGTCTACAGCCATTCCTAGGGGGCTCATGGGTCTCACAGACACTCATGCTCCTCCACTTGTCCCCTGAGCGGCTGCGTTACACTAGATCAAGTCCAAAGACCAGGTGGAAACATCCAGTGCCAATAACTCACTATAAATAATTAAAGATGAGTGGCTTATAAAGAGGAACCCAGCTGAGAAACGTTTCAAAAGAAGTCTGAAAGGAACAACATCTAGGATCGTATTTGACACGACAGCTCCTGGGTCCATATGAAGAAATGCCAGAGCTTTCGTACAGAGCATAAGACTGGAAGAAACAGTCACAGAGACTCCCCAGAAAAGACCTCCCTGGGTCCTCATCTCCCTGTACCCCAGGCCCCCCAGATCTGGTGTTATCCCACGACCTGGAAGCCCGACGTCCCTGCTGGACATTCTGCCCTAGTGGGAGACATCCTCTCACTAGCCCTTGTGGTAGTAATCCCCACGTCCCAGCCACCAGTTAGCCAGACAGATCCCCCCCGCCCAGGTGACAGACCCCAGGAGGGTCTAATTCTCCATACACTTGTCTGTGCCTGCTGTGTGGCTGCTAATGATTGAGCAAGCATGCGCACAGATGGAAAGGAGGCAGTGTCTCAGCTGTGGGAGAGGGTAGGAGGTCACGGTAATCTAGGGGTATGAAAAGCCTCAGAGGAAAACTTTCCCAAGGATCAAACCCATCAGAAGCCAGAGTGTGGGTCAAAAGGCTGAGAGAGTGTGTCACTAGACTGTGCTGACCTGCTCTAAAGCTCTGTCCTCCACTTCTTGCCAGAACCAGAACTCAATGTGTGGGTGCAGACAGCAGCTGCATCTTCAGACACAGGGGGATGTCATGCTAGGGACTGCACGGGGAGCCCCAACTGAAGTTCTTAGGACCTGACGGACATGAGTTATTTTAAACATGAACGGACAGGGGAACGGTTTTCATTATTAAGATAAGAGGTAAAGAATGATAGTGTAGTAGAAATACACTAAATGAAATATTAATTGATGTAACTATGTTAAAATAAGATCTAAATGCCCTACATTGACACCCACGCAATACAACAATCCTTCTCTGCTCCAGTGATGGCTTCAGGACTACGGCTTTTCCTGCATCTCTGATTTCATGGTATAAGACAGTTTCAGCACATTGAGCATGAAGTGAATTTCTGTAGACTGAATGAGTTTCCTGAACGCAATCCACTACAGCACGAGACCTAAGAACCACGCCACATTGCTGCTCTCCTACGGGCATTTAAACCCTGAAGGACTCAGGGGGGTTTGTTTAGACTTGAACTCCCCACCACCACCTGCTGCTTCCACTGTCTTCTCCCTTACACCCCATCCATGGGCACTGGCACTTCTAGAATTTTCTATTCTAGTTGTGTCAGTGATTAACTCGCATTTTTCCTCTCTTCTCTTTGAGAACTAGTTTTCCTGGGATATACTCAAAGCTGGAAATTCTTTATGTCATTAAAGCAAAATATGGGTGATTGATTTTATAAAATAAAAATACAGCCGCTTCAGATTCACGTGACAGAAGCAGAGGCTGGCCAAGTGGCAAGGACATGGACCTCTATCTCCTGGGAGGCAAAGACGTCCGAATAGGGACACAGACCAGTGGATTTGGAGCTACAGCCGGCAGAGGGAGGATTCAGGGTTTCAGTGTATCAGGTAAAATGTTTTCTTTCTTGTAACTGATACAATTTAGCACATTAAATCCCTTGTATGATTCCATCAGAAGGAAGTGATACCAAACAGATGCAGATTTTTGGATCAGTTTCCATATTTATCTTATCTTATGGAATATAAATCACTAGTGGTGGTTTCAGAAAGAAAAAACATAGTCTACAAAATTATGTAGACACTATCCACATTAGTATCCCTCTGCTAAATTAATATAAATGAAAATAATTATAAATGAAATAATTTCAAAATAATTATAAATGGAAATAAAAATTTTTGAAAATTATTGTAAAAGATCAAAATTATTTCACTTTGCTTCAAATGTGATATTGTGATACATTACCTTAATTTAAAAGCTTGTTAAAATTCTCTGATGCTGAAGTCATTTTATTGCTAAGGGATATTAAGTGCTTTAAAATTTGGTGTGAAATATTTACCATAAATGTATGAAAAATAAATAATTTCTCCCTTGGAATGCAACCACTGGAAATTATCCTCTTTAATGATGTGAGCTAAACAACTGCAACACCTCAAGTTTTCTGAGATCAAACAACATTCGGAGGCCTTTAAGAAAATCCATGTCTGCCCTCTGCCTTGGCACCTGCTGCAGCCGGGCTGTGCCATGTGCTGGGCACAAGGTGCCTTAGCACCCAGGCTGGTCAGGGAGCAAGCGCTGGGCCTGGAGTAGGCGACGTGCATTGCTGTCTGGGTGGCCAAGGGCCCACCTGATGCAGGGTGCCTTGGCCGAGTCTCACACTCTGGTCAGAGTGATTCACAAGCCCTCCAGCCGCGGTCTTGAACTTGTGACGTTTTCAGCCGCAGTGCCAGGTGGCCGTTCATTTTTGTGGCACAGGGTGACTTTTACAAGACACCTAAATGTTTTACTGTATTCTGAAGAAAAGGAAAACCTTCCCAGAATTGGGTAAAATCCCTCAGGGAACATCCCAGCCTGCTGCAGAGAAGGAGCCTGCAGGCGGCTGACTTGCAGCTTCTGGCACCCATTACAGTGGCACCTGCGGGACTTCGGCCTGTGTCTGTGTGTGGGGCAGGGGAGAGGGAAGCTCACTCTCTGGGAACATGAGCAGTTCAAGGCAGGAGGTTCTTCAAAATCCTTCAACATGTAACGGCCACATCGACGTGTTTTACCAAAGGGTTAGCAAGTTGGTCAAAGCACTCAAAATTAAAATAAAGAACTTCCATTTGGGACATGAACTTCATAGCTGCCAGCAAATGTCACTAAGGGTTAATGACACGGGCCAGCATTCCTAGCCAGCTACCTGCTGGAAAGCAGGACAAAGGCATTTCACCAACCAAATGGTGACCAAAGTGGTGGCCAGAACTCACTAGTGCGTGGTTCACTTTCTCTACTGTCTGTGTGGCAGTGAGTACACGTGGGTACGGGCCAACAGTCAGGAGGAACTTGCCAGCACCTGAGTCTCTGTGTTTAGAAGCACAGATCAGTAGCAGTAACTGAGCAAGTCCCTGACTTCAAAGTAAAACCACCATGATTTTTGCTTCTCAGCTCTCCCATGGGCCTTGAGCTTGGGCTGCACTGGACGGCCAGGTACTCCTCAGAGCAGACTCGAATGTGGGTGAACGTGTAAGTATTCCTGAGTGATAACCATTACCAAGGAGCTCCTCAATTATCATGCACCCTTGTCTAATTAAAATGCATGCCTTGTACATTATGCACATCGCTAACAGGTTTAATAATAAAAAGCACGCGCCCCTTGAAAACTCTCTTTGGTAGCAGAAGTTCCCTGAGTATCCAGATGGCCCGTCACTTGTATCAATGACAAACTTAATTCCTTGAGTAAATTTTCACCAACTGTTCTCCCTTTATTTTTATTACTCAGTGAAATATATCCGAAGCAAAAATATAATAGAGCATGACATATACATCGCAGAATTAAAGTGGAAGATTAATTAAAGCTGACTCCGGCTGAAGGCAGAGCCGCAGGCGTTAGACAGGGATCTGCAGTCCTAGCTGCACCCTGGGATTAACGGGGGAGCTTTTGTGAAAAGGCTGATGTCTGGGCCTGACCCCTAATCCATTAAATTGGAGGAGGGCCCAGGCATTGATATATTTTAAAAGCTCTTCAGGTGGCTTTAGCTATGCAGACATGATCGAACACACTGAGCTAAACGATGGGACAGAGAATACCACGGTCCATTAACCAGTTTGCTCATCAGTTAATCTTGATATATGTGGAAATTATGTATGATATTAACGTGCACGTTGTGGGAGAGAGAGGAATGGCGTGAGATTTCAGGTATTCCACGTTGTCCAGCAGCCTCCCGGGGAAACAGGGAGTCTAAGTTAATGGGCTCCGTGCAGGACTC